CCTGGGATTTGCAGCCCTTTCTACCAAGATGCTAACAGCTCAGCTGAAGTCTCTAACTCAGGTGTGCTGAAGAAAACTGCTGTGAAGGTTTAAGACCACTGTGACCTAAGACTGACCATCCCTCAGCCAGTGATTTCTGGATGGGAAATGAAAAATAAGTGTGTGTTTGTGCCTCAACCACCCATTTCACCATCCTGAACATAGTGGGATGTATCAGAGAAGTAACATCTTTCATTACTGAAACTTGATTCACCAGACTCACTCACTGGAGCCCCATGATAGAGTGGACAAATGCCTGGAAGCAAGAACTAGAAAACACCAAGTTTTCCCCCAATTCAGTTTCAACTTTCAGCTTCTTGTGGGCAATGAGAAGAGACAGGGCTCTTTGTTGCAGGCAGATGCACAACAGCAGCTCTACAGAGTCCTTGGAATTAGGCAGATAAGACTGAGAGGAGTAAAATTATACTCAAATTTATTATTCACCTCTTATCTTAGGGAGTGTTGAGCCGGCTTCACTCCATCACCCCTCAGCACACTACCTGAGGACACGCACCCAACACACCCAGCGACGTCGCTGGTCTTACCTGTGCGAATTTCCCGGTGCACATCACCCCGTTCCAGTGGGGGACAGTCAGACACCCGGGATGGCGCAGCAAGCAGTTGTCTGCTCTGCCTACGAAAGTGTCCAGGTACCCAGTCACCGAGCCATCCAGATCATGGAAGACAGATGTTTTGTCACCATCATTGTCATTGTTTCCAAACCACTGGCCTGATCTGCCAAAAAACACTTTCAGTCCAACCTAGCAGGAGAAAATAAGAAAAAACACTGGTTAGCTCTAAGTGAGGATTTGGGTTTGCAGTGCTTTAACAGCCAAAACAGAGATAGAGCTAGAACTAGAAAGCTCCGTTGTCTGAGTAAAGTTTTGTTTTACCTCATCTGTTTAGAAAAAAAATCCAACTGTATTGGTTTTCCCCCGCATTTCTTAATCCCAGGAGATATTTTCACAAAAATTAGACTTTTGGTTCTTTGAAATGCTCCTGCACAGCCATGTATTCCTTGAAATCACACTGCAATAAACTGTGCCGTGGCAAAAGGAAGAGGATGACTCAAAGGGTAGGGAAGTACTGGAAGATTATGAAATTTACTGAGGAATATCACAGCTGTGATCAAAAAAAACAAAAATTATGAGGTATTTGGTGAATTTTCTCAGATATATTTTCAGTAGCTGTTCTAGGAGGTTCTGTGAGTACTACTTTTTTCTAATTGTTCTCCTAAAATGTTATACAACCCATAAAAGTGACAGCAATTCTCAGAACTGGCTCTTGTGCACATTTCGATATATCCCCTGAAGAAATTTTTAGGGAAAAGAAATAACAGTAAGCAGCATTATCCTCATTATGCATAGCTCTGTTTTCAAGATTTTTCAGTAGCTAAGTAAAAGAATCTGTCTTGATATAAAAACCCAGGAAAAAAAAAAGGCAACTACAGAAGTTCAGCAAAAAGGCATGGAATATTTTAATGCCTGCAGAGAAAATTATTACAGTGTGCAACAGTTAAGTTCTGAAGTAATCAAGAAAATAATTACTCCAGGTCAAGCACTCAAGAATGAATCCTGCAGCAATGTGTGTAATAGCAGACGGCATAAATAGCAACTGGATCGTGCCGACCCAAAGGACTGTAATTTGTTCCACTTAACCCAACTAATTTTAATTGGACTGTGCACATGAGTAAGAATTAGGGTCAGCAGGATTAGGCTGCAAGTTTACTAAGGGCTTTAAGGGCTTTATTTGAACAATAATAAACAGAACAGCTTAGGAGAATAGGAGGGTCATTGTGATTCTGAGTTAGATGGAAAGTCCCATTGGCTTAAAAATGACCGCTGCAGCAAGAGCTACTTGCAGAATAAAAGTCTTTATTCCTTTAAAATTAAATTAGAGGCCAGACCATTTTTCTGCAACCTTCCTCTCTGAGTCTCATAAACAAACACCTGAAGCAGTCTCACTTAAAGGAGGCTCAAACATATTGAAAATTATGTGTATTTTTGAGTGTTTTAAAACCTTTTCTTACTGTCTTGCAAGATGTTTTTGCCTGAAGGTCTACTTAGTAAAACAGGAGGATCCCAAAAGTTAGGGTTTTCTTCTTTCATTTCAATTTATAAAAGAGGAGATATTAACAAAATGCAAACTCTGTGCTGCTGCAGCTCAGAGCTCCATTATAAATACTTAGTGACAGTGCACTTCTGGAGCTGAATATGGAAACGGGCACTTCTCTGGGGAGGAGAACAAAGTCAGCAGCACTTCAAAACAAACAAAGGCACAGCCAGCACAGCTTCCGTTTGATTAAACTCTCAGTGCTTCCATCCAGCAGCAGACAGTTCTGGTGCTAACGCTGATCTGATTTCTAACATTCTCCTCTAAAAGCCTGAAAGTCAGAAACAACACAGAAATGCTAATGAGCAGTGCCACTTCCTTTTCACGTCCCAGGATAACCTTACTTTTGTGCGCTGAGAGGTTGGGGGGGCACTGAGTTTGCAGTTACAGCTATTGCAAAATACATATTTTTTTTCCTAAGTGGACACACATGAACAGAGAAAAGACTCAGCCCGTCAGGTATGTTCATGTGGAGCTAGAAATGAGCTGGAAGAGGGAGCAGAGACAGGTCATGTCTACGTATCACACTGCTATTCAGACACTCAATTTTCATTAGGTGTGGACTACCTGGGAGTGATATGGTGTATGGTTACCTAAATTACCTGTCTGCAGCCTGACAGGGAGACCTGACAGATGATGGTTATGTGAGTATGTCATTTCTTAGGAATATGCTAACTCAACCTGTCCAAAGGCAGCACAGACATCAATAGAAAACATTTTCTATATTGAAAATTAATAGTGTACTAGAAAACACCATAATAACTTGCAACTTCTTCTAAAATTCAAGTATTGACACAAGCTGCAAAAAAAAGTCGTATCCCTGTGTCACTGTTATCAATTTAAGGAAACCACTTTCAACCTGTGTGAATCTTCCTCTATTTTACCACCCAAGGACTCTGCCCTTGCTAATGTGGCTTTTACTCTGCAAGTTTTTACTCTACAAGTTCCCTTAGGTCAGAAGTCTCTTTAGCGTCTGGGATTATGTTTTGCTGCGTTCTTTTTCAGGGAATAACAGACTTGCACTTTAACTCAAGCGTCTGCTGCTCTTTTTCTCATCATGAACTGTTTGCAAACTTCTGCTTTGACGCAGAAACCCAGTGCTAAGACAACACAGGCTAAAGATAGTAAAGGCAACATTAGGAAGCGCCCATCTCGTAGCTAGGCAGGACTGCGATCTCATGGGAGTCACTAGACCACAGTCAGGAGCCAGTGCTCGCCTCTCCGAGCTCTTCTGAGGACCACAAACCCACCCAACACAAACCGCTGGGATTTCTTTGGCACAAGTAATTTCAGAGATGCCGTAGCGTTGGCACAGTTAAGAGTAGAATAGGCTTGAACGCACCTTAAGCTCCTGGCTGCAGGGAAAAGACAACCTGAGGGACTACTAGCAATGGATGTGAATTGGGACAGTTTGTGAGTATTCTGCACCTGCTGGAGGTGGCCTTGTTCATGGGAGCCCAAAAGGTCAAGCACAACCTCTTGCTCCTCACCTCACTCTACAGGAGCTGTGCAGCAAAAGGACAGAGGGATGAATGAGTTGCTATTTTATGACTAAAAAGATATGTCAGGGCTTCTTAAGAAATGATGCACATGTGTCCTGTTTGGGCATGGCTCTGTTCTGGGCTGGGGCCATCTCCTTTGAGCTCCCCAAGCTCTACTGACTGACAGTGACCAGATCTACAGGAGACCACAACCATCAGCCATGCCCTCAGCTTGGGTAAGACCAACCACTGCTTCCACTGCTTTGAAATAACCTTTAAAAAGCACACTTTGCAAGACAGACAAGCAAACAAGCCTGGTAGTAATTTTGCTATTGATAAATGCACAGATGTCTTCACATGTGAGTTTTAGGCTGGACAATGAAAAGGCAATTAGAATACTTTTAGTAGAGCATAACATTTAGGTCTTCTGTTCTACTTGACTGTTTTTTATGCTGGAATTAAACAAGACCTGGCTGGCTTTATTATTTGGTGTCTAACCAATCTGCTGATTAGTCTGATTAAATTTACAATTATTCCTTCAACATGATTAATAGTTTTGTCATCACTATACAACTTGCAGTAATGCTTAATGTCTTCTTAAAAAACAATTGTACAACGATTGTCCTTCAGGGAATTAGGACTTAGCTACCCTTAAAAAGTAATAAAACGAAGCCTGAAGATGGAAAATTAATTAAAACCGTCCACAGGCTCTATCTTAACGAGTCAAAGATATATTGTTCCATATAGCAATTAGCAACAAAACAATAAACTAACTATGGTCCTTCAAGTCTGAAATCAGATTTAGCACATCTGGGTTCAATCCAGATAAAACAGAACCAAAGTGAGAAGTGCTGAGATGAAAGTGTTTACAAACGTAAATGGTTTTAAAGCTGGCAAAATACCAACTTCAGAAATGGATATTTCTTGGAAATATACATACAAGAAATAATTATTGGGATAATGTCATTAATTTTTTTTAATGGGCAGATACTGTATTATATTAATTTGCTTTGCAGAAGTATTTCTTAAGTCTTCTGAGCATTTTTACCTTGAAAACCTCAGATCTTAAAGGGGTTGCAGTACTAAACTGCCTCTCAGGCAAAAAACACTGGGATATTTAACAGGCTCATTGGCCTCAAATGGTGCAACTGTATTAAAGAGCTGCATTTTCAGCCATTTAAGAGGTAATCATCCCCTTTGCTAATGTGCACAGATATCATCTGTCTGAAACCATTGTTGGACAGAGTCCTACACCCATTACTGGAGGAAAATTTCCACTCTTTTCCAGTCCGCCGATCGAGCATTTTCATGATACATTTTCCTCTAAGCTCCCCTCCTGGTTCTGCACTGATTTTTTCATTCATGTTCCCCATGATCATCTTACAACCATTTCCCCAATGGAGGACATAAAGATAGTATGGCACATTAGCCCTGATTTTTGTTCCAAAGCTCCCTAAAGCATCTAAAGTAACTAAGATATCTTTGCTGAAATGCACAGGAACTGTGTTTTCTTTAGAGGAAAAGTCAAGTGACTGCAGTCAACATCATCCTTTCATGAAATGCCCTCCTGTTGTTGGTCTAAAGTGTACCAGAGAGGGGACAGACAAACTAACTGCTTGCCAGGAGTGATATTGGTCAATCCCAGAGCAAGGGAAATTTTCCTTAACATAAAGCCAAACCTCAAGCCAAAGTTACTGCAGTTCATGGACGTCCTAACAAACATGGACCTTGTTTGAAAAAAGCTAAAGAGAGATTAAGATCCTTGGGAACGAGCCAGGTGGGATCTATCATTTCCCAAGCCAAGCGTGCAGGGCCAGGATCCCTGCAGGAATCCAGGACAAGGACTGGAATTGCTCAGCATCTCACAGCTCCTGCCAAGGCAGAGATACAGAGCCCTATTCTGCTGCCACTGTTCAAGGAAAGCCCCTGTTAAAAAACAGGAATTTCTCTGCTGACCCCAGAAACTGGGCCATGGCTTTGCTTCTAAGTGCATTTGCTTATTTTTGTGTAAGAATTATACTGCAGCTTACTGCCTCCTGACATCTCAGCTGTGTTCCCCTCAGCTTCTGAGGTCAGGTCCTCAGCATACACAAGCTGGTAATGCTGCACCAGCTAAGAGTGATGTTCTGGATTTTCTGGTTACAAGGTGAAATCTTCCTCTAATGCAGGTTTTTTAAATGTATATCTGCCCAGGCATAAAATACCTTCACATTTTACTGACTTATAAATTCTTTTGAGAGAGAAAAAAAAAAAAAAGTGTTGCAAAATGAATCGATGGTGTGCACCAATGTAACATGCACCACTGCCTGGAAATTCCTGCTCTAGGATAAATTTCTCACTGCTTCTACAAACTTCAAAAACCTGCACATCTAACAGCACGCATTCCTCCTTCTCTTACTTACACTTTTCTCCATCAAGACCTGTGACACATTATTCTGGGGGCTTATCTGCCAGGAGTTTTTCATGAAGAACCCAATGGCACTTGAGTATCTGTCAGCAGTCGGGGTGAACTTCTTGAAAGTGCACTTTGCCATCCTAACAGGTCCATCATAAATCTGGAATCCACGAATAGGGAACGTCCTGTGAGATTTAAAAACAAACGCAGTCCTGTGTTAAAAGCTTGGGCAAACTGAATCTTCTCCTGAAAGCACAGAAAGATATTAACAGTAGTTAAATCACATTTCCTTTCCCAAAACTGTGATCTGGACACTCATCGCACAGTTAATGAAAGTTGAAACTTTGCTGAATATCCTCTACAAGCTAAGTAAGCATAACCTTGCCTAAGACTTGTAGGCTGGGGTAAAGCAGTTCAAAACCCTTGTCACCAGCATGCCACAGGTTCATCAGCACAAGGAAGACCTCAAGGGCTGTGTGGCAGCACTGCAATTTAGGTTCCCTGTTCCACGGTACGCAGGTTTCTCAGGAAAACATCAGCATGATTGAAAAAATGATATCACTCATACTCCCTGGAGGCAACAGTCTCCTTGCAGCACAGTTTCTCCTTTCCATACAAGCCACTTCATATGAGATCCCTAGGGCCTAGTCCACAGCATTTTGTACAGAAAAAAATATTTCTGTGGCATCAGTCCATGGACATGCTGTCAAGACATCAGTGTTGACGGAGAAACACCGGGGTCACAGGTAAGGACCTGCTCCTTCCATGGTTTGTTTTGAGAAGGAGCCAAGTTTTGCTTGGCTCTAGTTGTGTTTGATTAAAGGGTGGCCTGCACCAGCTTCCAGACGGTAATGAAGCTGGCTAGCAGTGGCATGGAAGGGTAGGTCAGTGCTTACCAAGCCCAGAAAGAACTGCTCAGACATGAAATAAAGTGGACGTCACATGGGCACACAGGCTCTCTCCAGCCTGGGGGTCACTGTGGCCCAGATTGCCCCTCAGCCTTGGTGTTTCTTCTTACTGGTTGGCTCCAGAGATCCAGAAACACTTTGACAATTGGAAACACCAGGCACAGTGTTTCTTGACCAAATAATTCTTCAATTTCCACAGCTGTTATTTACCCCAGTCACTGGGCCTGGTACAAGTCCTCATCCCATTCTGCACTATGGCATAATGAAAGGACAGGTATTGGAGGTTTTTCCAAGAGCACATTGCTTAACCATATCACTGATGATTAGAGCTTGTTTGAACTACAAAAGAGCTTTTCTGCAATTGCAATTAATATAACACCACTGATAACAGCTGAGGATAGCTCTGATTATTCTTGCTGTCCTACACAGATCCCACTCATGTGTCACTTATGGCTCAGACGTGTGTAGCCAGGGCTGTGTGCATGGCAAGTCTGCTGAATACTGCTTATTTTCTAATTTTATATTCCTCATAGAGGGGTTAGTGATTTGTGAGCATCACGAAAAACATGCATTAGGGTACAATTTAGACTTGGGGAAGCACGCCTTGCTATGGGGATGTGGGCAGTCACTATGGTTGTTAGGCAAGAGGCTGTGCTGCTATCAAAATAGAAAATAACAAACAGCTATTGAAAGAGAAGTAAGATGAAATTATGAAATTATGAAAAACGGTTTCTCCTTTGTCAAACTGGCCATGTTTGCCCAGCTGCGCTAGCAGGAGGGACGGTGGTGTGGTGTATGGGAGCTGCTCCATCAGCCTGACACTGCACTACTGAAGCACTACACAAAAGACATTTGGTATCTTTCAGATTCTCTAATGCATTCTCCAGTGACTAATAAATTAAGCAGAAAATTAAATCAAACGCATGCAGTCAAGAATGCTCTCAAGCTGTTGGCCTGAAGCGTGAGTTTATTCAGACGCTTATTATTTCTGGCCTGTACAATAATTTAAACATCCGGTATAAATTACTCATTGGTAGTCACATTAATTCCTGAGGCTTTCCTTCTAGCTATGCTAACACCAAGAAGAAACGGCTGAAGAAAAACTCACTTGTTTCTGGGAAGTGTCCTGTATCCTCCATTTGCCCCTTTTCCCCAGTAGCTGTTTTGGCCTCCCTGGGAGCCAAAGTTGCTGCTTTCTCCAACAAAAATGGAGTGTGTGACCTCCAGGCTGGAGCCTTCATCTGTCGGGAAAGTGCCATCACTACAAGCAAAGAAACACCAGGTGACTATGCAGCACAGCACAAACTATTAATTACCACTTTTGATTACACCACAGACACAGTAGGATTTATTATTTTGGAGAAAAAAGTGCATGCACCAGTATAACAACTTGCTTTAAAGTCTCTTTAGAAACCAGTAAGTTAGTGCCGAGGTACTTTAGTGCTTGGATATCAGTAATAAAGGCAGCAGTCTGGGCAAAACCAGCTCCACCCAACAATACACACACACACACACACACACACACATATATAATTTCTCTATATTGAGTTGCTTTGTCAATTTTGAGCTACATCCCTGAAGTGAGAGCCAAACATCCCTAACTGTCATTCCCTGCAGTGGGTTTTGGTTATGGCATATTTTTGCAGGTATTTTGCAAGAGGGTTGAGAGGAGAGCAGCAGGAGCATGGTAGACACCAGCAGAGGAGGCAGCAGACCTGCTGTGCCACCAGGTGGGACCCCTGCAGCCCCCCTGCCCTGGCAGCACACCAGCTATGGGTGAAGCTGCTCCACTGGGCTAGAGCAGAAGAGAAGTCTCCCCAAAGACAGAAGCAGATGTTTAGTCTACTGGTTCAGGACTTATGGTCCAAAAGGAAATATTCAGCAATTACAATGTACTCCCCAGACATCCTGAGGCAAAGGGAAAGGAAGTTAAATTGCCCCTTGTGTTAATGGCTGCGCAGGGAAGACTTGATGTGGTCTGAGAGGGAAATGTGAGGTTTTCTCGTGTCTTACAGGAATTACCAGGGAAGTGTCTCAGCTTCCATTCTTGAGCCTGCTACACTGTGGGAAAAATGGGAAGAAGGTCCATTTTAAGAAATTACCTTGCCAAAGTGAGTCCAATTCCATTGTCTGAAAACCTGAGACAGAAGAAACACAAGGGTGTAAACAATGAGGAATGTCTGCGGTGGATTTGGCCTACAGACCTCTATGTCTGCTGCGAGGGGAATGATATAACACGTAATTACAGTAACCTACCCCGAGTTGCGGAAAATAATGTCGCCACCCCTGGCCCAGGCCCCGTGGTCATTATTTTTAAAAGCAATAAGGCCATCAATCACGGCAGGAACTCGTGGCTTTTCGGGATCAGCATCTTGATGTGGGCGAAACCTGAAGCAAGGAGCTTAGTTAACACAGCATAGGAGACAGAGGAACCACCCTCAGACAGACGAGGCTGTGCCTGGCAGACCTTGCTTGGCTTCCAAATATCAGTGCAATAGGCCTAAAGGGGTGCTATGCCCTGGATCAGAGTTAGGATTTTAGGTTGGTTTCATCTCTGTGTGTTGATACAAAGCAGAAAACAAGAAACATTCATCAGGGTGAAATTCTGGCCCCTGTGAAATCAACAGATTTCTCGCCAGACTTCAATGGGCCCATGATTACTCCTTTATTTGATTCAGTGCTATTTGGAGGCATAGAAAACATTTTTCCCAAGTCACTTGTGTCCTTTTGTAATTGTCCTTACAAGGCCCATTGAGGATCCCTGGACTGATACTAGAAAATCAATAAGGCACTTTCAAGAATCTCATTCAGCAAAGATAACAGAGTAATCAGAACTGCTTTCCTTGCATGTACAGACCAGACCTCCATATGCTTCTGTCTCTGCTGAAAGAAAAGGGGTCATATGAAATAGGGATTTGTCCTGGGAATCAGGCACTTCTCAATTACTTTCAGGTTATTTCTTGCCACACTGGCTGTCAATAGTAGACTTGTGCATGTTTGGAAAAACAATATGATTGCTTTTTCTGAGTCTACCCTCACCTCCTACTTCTGATGACCCAAGGGATGTGCCATCTCTGTGCCTATTGGGTGGCCCAGAGAAGGGAGTCTCCCTAAGGGATACAAAGCCTCTCTTTCCTTTCAGCCCTATGGGAGCACTGAGAGGTGGTGATAGAGGAGGGGAAAAGTGCTTCTCTTCACTTCCTCATAACCCCAAGTGCATGTGTATCATTTTTGGTCAGCAACAACACAAACCATTCAGTGCATAGTTATGAAGTATTTGCCTCTGCACATCAGAGATAGCTTGTGTGTTTTTTTCAGATGCTCCAACCATAATGAGGCATTAATGATCTGCTAAATACAATGCAGAAGCCAAGGCAGCAATACAACCATCCGAAATACTGAGCCATACACCATGTGCTTACCTGGCATTATCGACGGTGAGGTACTCTCTAGGATCTTCAGCACTGGCTCTCGTCGTCTTTACTCCTTTTCCAATAAACAAACCAGCCTGAAAATGCATGGGACTCCAATTATTTTAAGAGCTCACCCAACAGACACCAGAGATCCCAGATTTTTATCAATGAATGTGGGCAGCTGGGGCGTGCAGGCACAGCGAGCACCTACAGCCTCTACTCTCTTTCAGTGTCACTTGGCACCGCGCGGGGTGACATTAGCACAGGATGCAGTGTGCTGGAGTCAGGACAGAGCCTGCTCTGCCATATGTTACACATCAGCAACTTGGGCTGTCTTCTGACCCAAAGCAAGGCACTGAACTCCCACTCTTTCTCCCTCACAGAAAGAAAGAAAGGACTCTGCCAAGCTCTTGATAACTTTTTGGAAAAAGAGTGTTGTTAAGCAGTAAGGCTTTAAATAAAGAGTGACGAGTCCCCCGGCAGTCAAAAGAGAACATGAGCTGCTGTAGCCAACTTACAGGCTTTGGGCTGGAGCAGCAGCTGTCATGGACCAAGATGTACAATATACTTGGCACAGAGAACAATCTAGAATCCTGAGAAATAAGTAAAACATCTTTTTTATAGCTTACAGGTTGTGTTTTCCTGTCAACAGTGTATTTTGGGGGAAGTGTTTGTCTTGGAATTTCCCTTTAAATTTTTGTCTCATTTTTCAAAGGTGATGAGCGGGCCCTGGCACAAATTAATTGCTCATCTCCTTATGTCTTTGCACCACTGTGGCCAACAATGAGCAATGCTCAGCGTCCTGCCTGCCATTCCTTAAATCTCACATAGCAGTAGGTGTACCTATGGCCTGGGCACATCCCTGCTAACACAGGTACCCAACAAAAGCACCCGAACTGGGAGCCCCATTCTGCTCAGCTCCCTCTTTAATCATTAGAAAGAGCATCACCTCCAAAAGTTGGTTATTTTCTTGACACAACAATAAAAGACCATTATGAAAATGTAAGACAACCATGATCATCTGCTACCAGAGCGCCACACGTGGTCAGCCTTATGCCACAGTATCTTACTGATAGTAACGTATAAAAATCATCCACGTGCCTTGAAATTGGAGTGGGCTCTGTTGTTGTAGAATACTCCCAAGGGGGTGTGTTCAGCCTGTCCCTCTGGATATTGCCCCTCAGACTGTCCAGTGGGAACCCGGTGGAAGATGTACCATATCCCGACATCCTAAAAGAGAAAGGGAGGTCCGAGAAATGGGACACTGCGATTAATGGTACAGCTTATCCTGGGGATTTATGGTTTCCTACTGCACTGGCCAGATTTCTAACCTGAGCCTGCCAAACATGCGAGTCCCAGCAGACACCCACCAGCCATACTCTTACACCTCCCAGCTTATCCTTTGGTTTTCAAAACGTATATATTGTGGGTGAAATTCAGATGGTTTACTAGACAGCATAGTCTTCTCTAAACAAGCACATTAAACACAAATATTATTTGGGTAAATATCAGAGATAATAACAAGGAGAGAGTATACATTTATATATACAAATATAAATTTTTATTGGGCTTTTAACTATTAACTACTAATAAAAAGCAACATTTGCTAAAAGACACCACACACCACTTCCCGCCATGGCTGTGAGAGACACCAGTGTGAGGCAAATACTTGTTCTTAACGGAGACAAAGGTTGCAGAAATATATACTCAAATTTTATGACGGCTTCCTAAAAATTCATTGCCCTCACACTAATGACATCAATAAGAGTAGAATATGTGGGAAATGGAGGCAAAGAATAGCTCTTGCTTTTAAATTCTTTTACCTGAGCACCAGCTGCTGCGTTCTCTATTAAGTTGTTGTTTGGATTTGCAATCCAGAATGTGCTGACAGCCCTGAAAAATCAAAATCAAAATGATCCCAAGCAGTTACCGAACAGGAAGGGATTCATTTTCATAGCAGTGCACGGAACTTGAGCCACAACTCTCCTATTGACTTTAAAACTCCACACAACCTTTTAATGATACTCTTTAAGGAAAAGAAACCATCTAGTGATGTCAGACATGTTCATTTATGGAGCCACATGCTGAACCTTTTTTTTTTTTTTTAAGTTAAGCAGCTTTGGAAAATGTCTGAAAAGTGAAATTTTGGGTCGTTGGTTGGAAGTTCGGGAGCAATGGCAGGAGGTATGGGGTCCTCTATGGATTTATGAAGCTTCTGCATGGAACACAAAACAAATGTCCTTGCAACCACAGATGCCTCATTAAACAGGAGATTAAGGAGATATTATTTTGACGTTTGTTCAAATAAGGAGTTTTTGTGTCAAAGGGAAGATCAGTAGAGGCACAAACAGAAGCCAGCTATAAAAACATTGTTATCTGTTGTCTTACTTTATTTGATAACATCTTCTGCAGTAACAAAGACCATGTGTAAAAACACTGTAAATCTTTTCTCATGACCATGCCAATTCATTTGATCATTCTACGCAGAAAATCTCAATAATTTTCTATCCACCTTAAGTGTTACACAATCAAGAATCCATTCCCTTGGATTAACAGAACCACTAAAGAGGTGCAAAATAAATCTGTATTAACTGTACAATGAACCTCAGCATTGCAACAATAATTTATTTATGCAAATAAAAATTAGTTGGGTTTGGCCACTGCACCCTTTTCCAGAAAACATTTTCCAGAAAATACAAATTTCCTTGGCTCAACTATATTCTTATTCGCAAACACCAGCCAGGCCAATACTTGGGTCCACTGAGTGCCCATGTTATACCTCACTGGTTTCCAAAATAGAAGCTAACTTTAGTCAGCTGTAGAAGGATATTGTTTATTGTGAAATGATGCTCACTGTACTTTATGCAAATCTCTACATTCTTGCTAAATCTCCTGATGTTTTCTAGGTATTCATACACTCACGCACTATTGATGAATTCACTCTAGATGCTCCAGCGCCAATTTAGACCTGGTGAAAAAAGGCAAAAACCTCCCTTTGTACTAATTGGTATTTCTCTCAGCCTATACCAGGGCTGATCTGACTTGCATTTATCAGACAGATTCCATGGAGACTCTAACATCCTTAAAAAGAACTGAAAGGGGTTCAGAAACAAGCAAAGTGCTCTAACACATCTGCGATTCTCAGGAAACAGGGACAGGGATAACTATCAGCAAGTATTCCTTGCTTAGGATTCATGCAGGTGTCAACAGGTACCTTCACATGCAAAACACGGTCAAGTAGCTAAATTATTTTAAAATGAGAAATTATACAAAATGTAACAATTTTTCATTTAATACCACAGAATCACAGAATGTTAGGAGTTGGAAGGGACCTCAAAAGATCATCCAGTCCAACCCCCTGCCAGAGCAGGATCACCTAGAGTAGGTGATATCAAATAGCAAAATATCTATATCAAAACTTTCACCACGACATTCTTTGGGACCCAGCTATAAGTCACAAAATAAGTGCAAAACATGACCACAGCTCCTGGAGCACTTACATGCAGTCGGTGCTCGGCACAGGAACGTAACTGCCATGGACGTGACTGCGGATGGTGAGGCACATGGCCTCATCACGATCTGAAGGCAAGATGGTCCCTGACCTCGTGAGGAGCCCCAAGTTGTGATAAAAGGTGTTGCGTTGCTCTGTCCCATCTTCCAGGAAGAAACAGTGCCCCAAAGTGTCATAGCCAATGGTGTCTTTTACCTGGAAAAATGTAGAGAGGCCATAGACTGAAATGCTAACAGCAGTAGGAACTATGACTGATCTGATCCGCTTTGCTTATCAATAAATTCCCAAAACATTCATAGAGAGGCTTTGCCACCCCTCTGAATGGCGAACAGTGGCCTCCATAGGCATCAGTCCTGAAGCTAACTCAAATTACACATGGTTCGCATAACTGTGGACTGAACTTCTTATACAGTAAAACTGCTATTAAAATTACTGTGAGGAAGATCACATGCATAATTAAAGGAAAATTGTAAATGCTGGATTTAAAACTGCCCTCAGCTCTAGGAGAGAATATTCGATTAAATGTCATGGAGTAAATATCTGCGTAAAGATAATGTGTCTTGTGTGATAAACCAATGTGTTAGCCTGGTCAATTTAGAAATTTTAATGACTGCAACCCTTCCCAAACAAAATAAGAAATTCTTTAAAATGCACCATGTTAAGAAATATTTTATTAGCAAGGTTTCTGTTCTTTCTCCTCCACTCTCAGAAGGTGCAGGGCCATGTCATTCCCATAATGATCAGCTTGGGCAGAGATGGTATTTTACTGTTTCAGCCTATTTAAGATTAACTGACATGCACAAGGATACCGCATTAAACCCTAATTTGACCAAGAGGACTTAGCACAAGCCTCCTTTGATGTACAGTCTTATGAAGACAAATTCAGAAATCCTTCTTTTAAATGTAAATACTAAATCAGGCTAGTTAAAATGCCAGTTATTTGTGACTTAATCTTACTGAAACCTAACTCTGTACTCAAATGATCCCTGTCAGCACATTTATTCACTCTTCAGGCATACAAAATTCCTGTTGACGTCAGAGTTATGCCCATGCAAGACTGCAAGATTAACTAATATTAACCTACTTGGGTATTTCTGTACACAGAGGGATAGTTGAACTAAATCCATTTCAGATTCATATCTGGTGTTTCCCCTTAATGGGCTGCAACTGTACGTAACATGTGGAGTCACAAACAGTATAGTCCCCATAGGCATATCTCTGCTGGATTTAATTGTTTTGGGGCAGTCGCCCCTCAAACTTGTCATCTGCTGCTCTTGTTTCTGCCTCAATGAGGTGTTCAAGATAAAGCACAACACAACCCAGCTCCTAACTGATACAGATTTGGAAATCCAGTGAGACCCTGCACGCAGGAGCAAAAGCTCGAAATGGGCTGCAAGGACGGTAACAGAGAACTTAGAGGCAGTAACACTGATCGTGCCCCTACCAGCTGAGTCTTGCAAATACCGACAGGAAGTGGATTTGGATAAAAATGCCAGTGTCCTTGCCAGCCCGCTAAGAACGGTAAGCCTGGCTACTTCTGCTCTTCCAAATGATGGGCAGAAGCTGCGCTAAGGAGGCCGTGGAAGACTATTTTTGGAAAGAAACCGTAACAGCAAGCTGCCTGCTGCTTTAAGCAGCATTTCAATTGTAGAGTTTAATTCTTTTGAATTTAGCTGAAGTTTGGCTAATCTGTGTTTCAGACAGCTGCATTAAAAACCAGCCTTGTATCTGAAAACAGATTTTACCTTTAATTAGTGTGATTTGTCACAGCTTCAGAAATGCATGGCAGCCCTGCAGACTTACATACACAAAACTATAGTGACCACTCTCTTAACCAGAAAGAACATAATTTAAAGATCATTCACATTTGCACTGAAAGATAAGGGCCCGTGACATTAGATCAAAACCCCAGTAACTGATCCATTCTGGCATATCACAGATAGAAACTAAAAGCTTGGAAACAAGAGCCCACCTGTGGCACAGGGACAGTGGCACATTACTGTATGTGTCAGCCTGAAACACTGCCCACAACGCAGGCTGCAGCCCCACTGCTGTGTCCCACACCAGATGATTCAGATGCCTTGAAACACTGAATTATATATAGTTCAGCAACACAATATAAGTGACCTTCATGCACTGCAACATTAGACATGAAAGACTACAGCAGTCTGCGTATGCCTGAGGTGTGCCAGGGCAGCGGGAGGCACGTCGGCGTGTTGCAGCCCGCTCCCAGCCACCCGGAGCATCCCATGCCCTGAGCACCACTGCCTGTAGGAGCAGCCGATGGGAGAAGGACCTTGCAGACAGCATGGCGTGACCTGCACATGGCAAAGCACGAACCACGGCACCCCGGCAGTGTGCTTCTACAATTACATCCTCTAAACCCTCAAGACAGGAAAGGCAAAAACCCACCTAACTGGTTTATTCTGCCTCAAGGGCTGAAGTTTCATAACATGGTGCTAAAATGGGTATCCATCTATGTTATTTAACTGCCTTGCTCTGATACACATGTTCTTCTCTGGAACTGCAAATTATTTTAATTTATTTTAAAGTGAGGCTTTTTATTACATTTTAACTACTCTTTATATTAATGACTGTATTGAAACCACATGATTCTTCCATGGGATCACATATTTAACCTTTGCTATAAAATCTGCTCACTGATTCATGGACTCAAAGCCCTCAGCAGCCAGATGGCGGGGTCAGGGCTGGATCTCACACTTGGATTCTTGATTTCACAACTATTGCATCCCACACGTCCAGATAAACCCTTGACAACCTCACTTCTGATAAAGTACAAGACCATACACCATTCTTCTCAAGACCAATATTAACATAAGCCTTAATTTTTCATCTCAGGCAGGTTCCTTGAACTCCAGAGGTTTAATACCAACGGGAAGAGAAAGGGAGTTAAATTATGCCCATGCACACTGGGCAAGCCTCCTGCCACCTCAGGGCTCTGTACATAAAAGCAGGCTCTACAACCAGAGTCAATCATGTATATGAGAAGGGAATCAGTAATTTGGAGTGATCTGGACAATCCAGTTTAGGGTACATGAAAAGTATTCCTGGTTGTACAAGTCCAGCATCACGTTTTCATGAAGGCGTATTTTTGGGGGAGACCTTTTCACACAAAGATCTCACCAGAGTGCGCCTATGTTGTGTCATATGCAGCTTTATGTCCAGGGTTGAGAAAAAGCTGTCAGGAAAAGCAAGGGAGGTCAGGAGTGGTTCAGGGAGTGCCTCTGCCTGAGCACACACCGGGAGAGTGAGGAAACGCACACGGACACCAAAACACCGCTCAGGGTCCTGCAGAGCACACAGCAATCGGACACGTCAGGGCAGGAGCGGGAATCTGTCTTTTCCAGCTGGGACACGAACGGCTTTTTTGTGGCTTCTTTAATAAGTTCCTCTCCACAATGCCCTTGTGGGGATCTAGGTCAAAGCCAAGTTCCTGAGGGCTTTTCTGGCACTGAAGCGGCCGTTTGGGTCTGTCCCTCTCATATTTCATGCCTCTGTCATGTGAATAGTTTTGGATATATTTCACACTGCCCTGACTTGAACAACCTCTGTCTTTTTTACCTCCTTTGCTAATGACAGGTCCATTGCTTCAGTCAGGTCCTGTAAGTTCCACTGCTTTCATTTTACATGAAAGTTCCTATTATCACAAACTGTCCAGAATAACCATGGCAAAGTTCTCACTATATCTGATCACCCCATTAATAAAATTAATTAGGAAATACTAAGAACCTGAAATTTATTTCAAAGAGCTGCAGATCAGCAGTCCTAACCAGAACACCTGTCAAAGGAAGTTGAGAAGTTGGGACATTACTCAAGGAAAAGATGCTTTGTTTCAATATTCTTATTTCTCTTTGCATTACAAACTGCTCTTACTGTTTAGCAGTACCTAAACAAAGAAATTAACTTGGTAGTAATAAAATATGGCTCCTACCAAAAGGCCATGAGTTCCATGTATGGCAACACACCTAGAGAAGCAGTGGTGGATAGCCAAGTTAGCCAGATACGTTGGGCGCTCGTATCCTCCTCTCTCATCCACATCCTCAGCCAAGTGGAAATGCACAGGGTAACTGCCCAGGATTTGCTGCCCCATGTTTTTTAATTCCACTCCTGACATGTGAACAGAGCTAAAATTCCTTAGGATCTGTTGAGACAAAGGTAGATCCAAGTAAGGCATTACAAGATAAACACATGCAAAAAGAAAAACATCTTTTTTTTCACCCCGCTCATTAAGCAATACATTTGCAGAGCAGAACAGGGCCTGATCCCAGGAGGAGGTGCCAGCTCCCTGCTCTGACTCGCAGCAGCGCAGCCCTGGCAGAGCAGCGTTGCCAGTGGCCACAGTCTACAGGCATGGGGCTGCCATGGAGCAGCTGCCACACACCGAGCAGCACCGAGGCACAGACGGGTGACATGGCCATGGACAGGGTGCTCCTGCCAGCGGCAGAAATGGGTGGCATTCACCACCAGGCGCTATTTCCTGGCACCTCTATCTCTGCTGGTTTGCTCTGCAGGAAGCACAATTTCTCATGAACTCTGTAACCCCACACTGACCCCACTGACAGCAATGTCACTAAAGAACCCCCTCTAGCCAAGGGAAGTGTACATTTTTGCATAAACAGTGAAGAAAATGGCACGGCCTCATTGCAAGTCTAGTTCTGCAAAACAGTCCAACAAACCTTCCCCTTCTTCATAAATAAGCATACCTTTTCCCCTAGATGCAATAGTAGTTTCATACATTATATTGCTTGTTTACAAACCAGGAAAGAAGCTACCTGAAACCAAATACAGGCATATGCATTAAAATTTACTTACTTTAATATGTCCTCCAAATGTGTCAAAGGGGAAAAACTGGCATTGATTTTGTCCATAACAGGAGTCTTCCATTTCTCCTTGAATAAGTATATTTCTTGTCAGAAGGCCAACCTCTGCCCTCATATCAACACCATCTATGACTTCTCCAATGTGAAGATAAAGTGGGCTGCCTGTGAAAACCAGAAACCTTGTCATTCAGGGTGAGCACAGCACTCTCATTATCACATTGTCCTAAGCAAGTGCATGCTTTTCATTTAAGCAATCACCAGGTCAAGGACATGCCTGGTTGTTGGTATTTGATCCCAGAGGAGATCAGCACCTCCCCTGACTTCTACAAGGGACTGCTGCCCCTGGTTAAACTTTCAAGTCTCAGTATCAGGGCCTTCAGCTTTTGTATGAGAAGTGCCCGTGTGTTTATGGGACAAAAACTAGCTAAAAATGCAAGTAAATACAAATGTAGAACATTAAAGCCAAGACAATGTAATTATTTACCACAAATGAGTAGCTTGATAAAAATATTTCATACCATCAATCTTCACTTGATTACTTTTACATTCAGAGCAAGGAAGAAGATTAAACTCTTCAGCCTGATGCATAGAATAATCTGTACTGGCAATGACGATACGGTCGCCAGGTAACCAACTCGTAACCTCGTCCACCAAATGAAGAATTGTTCCTTTGGACACTTCCACTTTAAATCCATTACGAGGCACCCCTGAAAAATGAAGGAATCCATTACTTTCGCAGTTGCACACGACAGAATCATGCAATTAGTGAAAGAGCGTACCAATTTAGTTTTTATCTAGATAAGTCTGTGTGTGATAGAAGCACTATAGCCATTAAATATGTCAGTGTCATATCTTCGTAGGCATCTAAAACACTACTTTACAAGAGTATTGCTGTTACTTTGGTCACCATCTGTGTGAGCAAAAGACTGTGGTATTACTAGGATTGCACTCTTCAGATCCACAGAAGTCAGAAAAGAGATCAGAGCAAAGCAACAGAAGATGAGCAATTGTCAAGGAAGACTAAACCTTTTATCCATCCACTGAAAGCAGTGACAGTAAAATGGGTTCCATCGTAGGTAAGGAAATCTCTTCGGGCTACAGCTAACCCCGTTGTCCCATTCCCATGGTACTCTCGCTTATCTTCTGCTGTGGAAAGCCGATCTCCTCCGAGGACCCCCACCAGCGCCCAGGGCTGCCTGAAGGAGACCAGGAAGGAGCAAACCGGTGCCATCGCGACCCCTTCGCCCTCCAAAGAGCTTGTGCTTGCCCGCCGGATCCCTGCCCGGCCCAGCCCCCTCCGTCGGGGCGAGCACCGGGCGGGTGCTGCCGCAGCGGCCCCGGCGCGGAGCTGTCCATGGTGGCGCCGCGGGCC